GAATGAACTATGACCCGTACAATCTCGATTTGCATATTGTCAATCAAAGGTCCTGTTATTTGGTTACTCATGCAAATAGGCAATTGGACATAAACATTGCCACGTGTGAGTGTTTTTTTATTTTTAACCAGAAAATAAACAGCAATTTTAACGGTATTCCAATAAGAATTCATTGGTCAAATTTTCACAGAATGTGAAATAGGACTTTTAAGGTGTATTTTGGCGTCATTTTCGGACATTTCAATCATTCCTGAATGATGCGTGAATTGAATGAACTATGACCCGTACAATCTCGATTTGCATATTGTCAATCAAAGGTCCTGTTATTTGGTTACTCATGCAAATAGGCAATTGGACATAAACATTGCCACGTGTGAGTGTTTTTTATTTTTAACCAGAAAATAAACAGCAATTTTAACGGTATTCCAATAAGAATTCATTGGTCAAATTTTCACAGAATGTTCTTTAGATAAAAATCTATATAAAAAACGAAAAAAACTATTTTTGATTGAAATTCACAAATAAACTGCATCTCTACCTTAAATAAACATCAAGTTACAATTTGGGCATGGTTTCTGAAGTATGAGCGTGATCATTTTAGTAACTCAATGTTTTTGTAACCACGTTCGTAACTCAAAACGATTCAGCATCATCAGTAAATTAGTTATACAGCTGTTCATTATAACGAGGTTACGGTGTATCAATTTAGCCCTGCTAACGAGCGTCTTCTCAACTCAAGTTCAAGGCCAATAAACTGCCTATTTCCATTGTAATTCAGACAGTAAATTTAAACAGTGCACTCTCTCCTCAGACATTTCAAATTGCCCCAGGGCGGAGGGGGTTTCCTCACCTTTCATTTCACCTTTCTGATTGACTATAACCCCCGCATTGTCCTCAAAATACAGAACTATACCCTCCTTCCTCCGGTACGGTTTACGCTGCCGTATAATCACAGCTGGCATCACTAGAAAAAAAAATAGAAGAAATTATTACGGCTAGAAAATTTCATGATTTCATAACATTCAGAAACATAGAAATCATTTACAGTGTCCTTGAACCACACAGAAATTTTCGAGATTTTAATTTTTTGCAAAATTTGCACGTCTTAGAAAAATCAAAGCAATACAAAATCGAGTTCAAGATGAATCCATGTCAGTGAGCTCTCTAACAGAACTGATTTTAAAGGGCTTTTTGCTTCAAAATGGCATCCCAGAAATCAAGTTGGGAAAAAAGTCCATAAAAAAAAAATCAAGTTGTATGTGGCTGCTGCAAGTTGTCGTTTGAAGGCATAAACCAAACTGATGTGACACCTGCTTACTTGATTGTTTTTTTTTGCACAATTTTTTTTTTTATATTAAAGGGCGGCAGTCGTCGTGCCGCGTCCTGTTCGATATGGGACTCATATCAACGTATGACTCAATCTGGGATAAAGTCAAGCTGTAGCAGCTGTATCCCGGAATTATTCACTATTTTTCGTTGTATAGAGCTAAAAATAGAATCATAAAACGCCCTCCGTTACCACTTGAACCATGTCTGAACTGGCCACTGGTCGTGTTGATTTACAATATAATTTGAAAGTCAACTCACAGCTTGAACGAAAAACATATCATGATGATAATAATACTGTATAATATTTAAAGTGGAAGGGTCGTCACCGACGACCACCGCGCTTTAATGCCAATTTTATTTACCATTATACATGCCACGACTATTGCAAACTGTTTCACAGCTATATATAATCTTTATAATTATTCTTGAACAGTCGAGAAGACCCAAATTTCATTTTTGAAATTCCAATGCGACTCAAGATACATACGAGTCAGCAGGCACAGAGCTGCAGACTTCTGTTTGAATACGGCAGTACGGATTTCATGCAGTATTCGTTTAGCCCATTTATCGCATCGCATTGCTCAGCGCATTTACATATTCTGAAATACTTTATTTTATTACTTTATTTTCGCTGGAATTAATTTTTGCTTAAAAAGCTTTTTGGGTGTTTTGTATGGAATTTATTTTCACTGATTTTTGATGAGTTGAATGCGAGACATAGGAAAAAGAGTATACTGTAAAATCTGTATTAGAAGCCGCTGCCTCTAATAAAATAGTACAATG